TGGGCCGGCATGTTGGTGGTGATGGAGTTATCTGTTTTATTGGTAATACGCAAGGGTGAATCATGGCGCACGGAAAGCGAGCAGCGCGAGCTGAAATCTAGGAATTAGAGAATCTTCATTTTTATTGGGTAAGACAGGCGTAGAATAGGGCTCGATGGTTTGTAACAAGTTTGTGATATAGAGATCATGTAGACTTGTATAGAAGTTGAACCCAGGGTAGATCGTGCATTATGATGCCAATCCTCGCTGAATCGTTGGTTAGGATCGAATCTGAACATCTAGTATCTACTTGCATTGGCAAGGCAATACTCGAATATTGTGAGATCGCACCTCATAGTTGTAACGAGGGGTAAACACAAGGCCAAAAATTCGAGTCGCGAGCGACCCGAATTATTAAAAACCAGTGAGATATTTTTCATGATCATAATTACAATATTTATTCTTGCGGTCCATTGCAAATAACGACTGATTTGACCTGTGCGAGAGTTAACACAAGAATGCCTCTACAACCTCCTTCAGGGCTCCTCTCCGAAATACCATCAGAGGACTAGTGAGGAAGTCGTATATATACCGCCACATGACAATATGTCCTTTATTTTCATGGCCAAAAACAATAAATATAAAATCATTCATAACGTAAATTCCCCGAAATCAACGTAACGCACCCTAGAGAACTCAATCAGTTCTCCGATTTTGTCTTCACCCCATGTACGACTCGGACTAGCCGTGCCACTGATTACGTTGTTGTTTGATGGCATGCAGCATCGACCCGACGAAAATCCCAGCCGAAGATGACGAGTTGCAAACGGTTAACTACAAATTTACCGGCTTTCACACTGATAGAACAACTCTAGCACGGCCGAGATTTCCTCATGAGGAAGAGCTTGCCACAGTGTGTGAAGTTGAGAATATAAGCTGAAGTTAAGCGTTCATTTCAGTGGGTTTGCAGATCCGGGCCTATGGTATTGAGACGGTGTTAAAGGGGAAGGCATTATGAAAAACATACTAAAAGAATCACATGAATTCACTAGATCATGCCTAGTGTAAGATGAGGTACGGCAGACTCAGAGATGACAAAATGATGATGTACCCGGCTTCCTAATCAAAGACAGCGGCACCTTACCCAATGGAAACAACCTCAGGGTCGCAGTACACTATCCTGTTCAGCACTGTCAAAATGCTTTGCGCAACTGGCTGCCAGTGTCTGGAGCCTCAGATTTCATTGATGATAGGCGGGGGGCCCGTGGCAGGACATAAGTGGACACCGCTTCGGAGGGCTTCTGTGACATCACTATGGAAAACGGACATTAGCATAGATTAGCATTTGGCCAGTACCAGGAAAAGGCGGAAGTCGGAGAGTACACACGTATTTACTTGTCTGCCTCATAGATCTGAAGGCCATTAAACTTTGGAGTGTCGATGTGTGGTGCTGGATTCGTGAAGGTCGTTCGCTGGAGGCTGATTGGGAATTACGTTGGGAAGGCCGAGGTATGCGCCAAGGGATGTCGGGTGGGAAGTGAGCGCTTGATGCATTTGATAAAGCACTTGCGTTTCGTCTATGAATTCCATCGCCCAGTGCCTTCACGGTCCCCCATCCCTCCCAGCTCACATCAATTGGGCCTCGTTTGATGCCCAGTATTCCAAGTCCACCTCATACAACGCTACCAGTAACCAGGATTCAAACCAAATGAGCATCGCGAATACTTATACGCATATATAGAGAGACGTTACCGGAACGGAGAAAACTAGCTGAATATACCGACCTATGAACTTCATCGCGCGAAATGCGCACACTGCCAAGCAGATACAGAAGGCCCCGAGCATATAATGTCCGAACGGCACACGTACCACATGATATGGGACCTAATAAAAAACCTTGGGCCAAAGAACGGACCCGGAGCCTGACCTCAAATGAACATAGTGCGGAGTGCGGCGTGCGATTCTGGATTGCGGGAACATTAATCTCTCCCCAGAACAACAAAACGAAACCTAGTGGCAGAACCAGAATAATCACTAATAGGAACGTTAAGGCTTTTTAGGATCTGATTAGCCGAAGTAACCTACCTGATGTGGTGTGACAGAACTATGATAGCATCGACTCACTGAGTCAACGCTAGTAGCTGATCACCAGACGATCATGATGAATAAACAAATGACTAGGCTACAAATAGAGAGAATCACTGGCATCCGTAACACTAAGATATCGTCCGGGACTCCCATTACCAAAAAAAAACTGGGCCGATGATCGCCGAGGCCTGTAGTTGTAGTCAATGTTACGCCCGAACGAGGTCAGCAGGTGTACCACCTCCCCACTAAACAGCGAGAGTGGATAAGTGCATTTTCTCGGATTGGTGTTCATAGATCATCGCTATAGCAGAAGCAGACGCAGACTTGGTAGTCAGCCGCTTCAACTTTGCTCGTCCAGAAAGAAAGAAAGACATGCGTATTTTTGTGCTTTGTTCTCGTTCTGCCCCCCGAGATTTGCCTGATGCGTATTATGCTCGTCACAGTGCCTTGCTCACTCTTGTCCACTATTCAAGTCGTATTCAAGTTCGTGTTAGGAGTCATGAGAAGTGTTCGACGTGGAAGTTTCGATGCTTTTGGGGGTCGATAATCAGCTGGTATTGACTCGCCTAGTGTTCGCAAACTGGAGAGACCTGAGCCGCCATGCACAAGCTTGTTGGGGGCAGTGAAAGTCTCTTCTTCCCAGTCGGTCGGTCTGAGTGTTAACGTTAACCTTAATGTTGTGGGCAGAATCCGGCACTGCAGCCAACCGGTTGTAAGTTGGCAGAACTGGTTAGTCCAAGGTTAGTCCCATGGAAAAAATTATTAAGAAAAATACTGGTCGCACCTAGTACCTCCGTTATTACGAGAACTGGCGGTGATTTGTTGAACGTTGTGTTTTCAATGATGGTTGGCCACAGCACTATACATCATTAATTCCCCGGTCGTTTGCTATACTACTGTAGCACATGCACAAATTTCTTTCAGTCCGTGAGGGCACTGCGACTGACTTCGAAGGAAGTTCATACTCGCTTCAAACTCGCCTCCAAGGAAATTCATCAATTAGCACTGCATCTTCACTTCTCGCACAACGTTCCCGGGCCGGCCTTTGGTAGGTCTCGCTTCAGACTCGCCTACTACAGATCTTTTTGAACCGAACTCTTTGAATCAGATCTCAGCACAAATGGGCTCATGTTCATGACTCAATGCATTTCGTAACGAGAGTATTCCGAAGTAGCTGGGTTCGTGAAACACATGGGAAGCACAGCTCGGCAGAGACCTCAACCACCGTGACTGCTGGGTAAGCGTATTTTCTGGTTGAAATTCCGAGTCAGCGCCGTGGACCCCTCCCGCATACTATTTTGCCATCTTCGCGCTCATCGCCGAGTTACCCGACCAATACTCGGTGTCGATATCCTCGACTTCAGGTGCTGCCAGCTCCGGCGCCGCCAACAAAACTGTCACTGTTCCGAATCCTGGTCTCAATTCCTCCGAGTCCGCGCACTTTCGCTTTCTACAGCCTACAGAAATCAGTACTGACGGAAGACCTTTGCTGGAGTCACCGCACCGACGCTTATGATCAAGCGTGTTGAGCATGTTCATTTGACCAGCGCTTTTCCATATGCCAATGTAGCTTTCTCATCCTTGTATCTTACCGTCTCCGATGCAGAACTTAGTAGGCGTATGGTCCAGCCTCTCTTTGACAGTATTTTGTTCTTTACATACTTTGAGATGAACTTATGTAACTTGAAAATTAAGAACACCGATATTTGGCAGGAACAGGGTGCGAGGTCAAGGAAGAAGATAAAATCCAGGATGCAGAAATCACTCGAGCGTGAAGGGCGTGCTGTGCGCTGTACTGAAAAAATGATAATCCGAGGGTGAAGCCATTTGCGGGGTCCAATAACATAAGTCGAGTCTATCTATTTCGGAATACAGGCCTTGTGACACAGCCACGTTATTGCACCTAACCAACCTCAGCCGCTTCAGTCGATGCGTTCGCCTAGGCTTTTTCTTCATTCCGTCATCCATCAGATTACCCAAATTTGTTCTCACATAATAGTATCGTCCGAGGGGTGACCCAGCATCTCTTCGGGTTTTGGCTCGACATTGATTGACCATTATCCCTTTCGGTTCCATTTTTTGTCCTGTCAATGGCGACCCTTCTTGCCCCATTTCATATTTTATGATCTAGGCAATTCGGAATACTGAACTCGAAAGAAAGATACAGGCCCTGGGAGTTGCCGAATCTTCTCGATGATGATAAGATTACATGCTCATCGAGGAGCTCGATCATACAAGAAAAACGTGTAGAAAGTGTGCGTGCTCGATCTGTATTTTTTCACCATAATCTCAGGTTGATTGTTTATGGCATCCCTTTTCTCCTTTCACCGAATGCTGTACGTATGTTTATTAATATGTAATTGACAGCATCTGCCGGAGTCAGCTAATTCTGGCACTCACCGCAAGCTACACTGGTCAAGAGCGTTAATATTAGTAAAAACTCATAGGTTCAGACGAAGCCAATTCTCCATGCGAATAGGCTGACTGAAATCGCTGCTTCTCTTCTCTGCCACAAGGTGCGTACCATACCAACATAGGGTTACTGGACAAGGCTTATCATGATTGTACTCACTCGACTTCAAGTTCAAACTTTAAAGCTCGAGCTTCCAATGGAAAGAAATATACTAGTAGCTGCTTGACCAATGAGACTCATGTACGGCAGACGGAATTAATTCACATCGTTCGGAACAGGGAGCAGCTTCATCCGGAGTAATCTCTGACATATGTGCCACGCGAGTAGCCGGAATATTATCGTCATCACTTCACGAAAAAGTCTATACACGTACTCGGTCCGTCCCGGTATCGCGACCTCCTTCGGCGAGCAAAACTCACCTTGTAAAGTCACAGCGTTCCCTTGACTGTATAAGAAGCCATGCATTCCTTGGGATAGAGGCTGCAAACCTCCCCTGTCTCATCTTTTCAATCTTTGACTCATGGCTAGTCCAGCTATTGTCACCGCTCCTTCTGTGTCCCAACCCCCAACGCTACATCAAGACGCAGATGTCGAGTCGTCCACAGACGCGACTAGTTCAATCGACATAGAACATGTCGCAGTTAGTGACGACCCCCGTCAGTGGAGTTCTGCTAGAAAAGTACGTGTATCATACCATGCACTTTGTAACTAACCTGACGCTGTACCATCTGTAGACAGCAACTTTGTGCATTGTGTCACTGGCTACAATGGTGTCTGCATCGGCTTCTAACATTCAAAATCGTTTGTTGCACGTCTTTTCACAATGAATTGTTTGATATTGATATCGTTTTGCAGCCTCTAATTTGTTGATAGAAGACAATCTACATGCGACAAGCAGCCAGATTAGCTGGACATTGGCGGCGTTCCTGATCATCCAGGGGAACTTTCCTCTGATATGGAGCGCTGCAAGTGAAATTAAAGGCCGCAAGGTTGGTCTATGATAGGCACACCCCTTTGATATACTTAATGAATGCGAATTTCGTTTATCACAGCCTGTCTATTTGGTGGCTTCGGTTTTATTCATGGTAGGAAGTGTTGCGTTAGCACTTTGCCAGAGCATCGAGGTGATGATCGGCATGCGAACAGTTCAAGCTGCGGGGTGAGCATTTATGCAAAAAGGCTTGGTCACTGATTGACTCTCCCTTCTGCAGATCATGTGCTGTCATGGCTATTTCAGCTGCGACCCTAGCTGACATTTACGATACTCATGAACGAGGGACCACGATGGGTATCTTCTTTGCTGCACCTCTGTTAGGACCTGCAATCGGCCCTATACTTGGTGGTTCATTGTCACAGGCCTTCAACTGGCGCGCAAGTTTCTACTTCTTGCTGATCTGTGAAGTTGTCATCTTCTTGTCCTTCCTCATCCTGTTCAAGGATACATACCGACGTGAACGGAGTCTCACGTATTGCTCTGCTTTACAACGACTTCTCAACTCCAAAGAAGCTATTCAGAGTCCAAACGGGTCTATCATGAACGGACACGAATCCAGCAAGGACCAAACCCAAGCCAAGGACATCGAGAAGCAGGTCCAAATGCCAAATGTCACAGACGGTGCCTCAGTGGTAACTTCTACGCCGGGGCTGGACGATGTCAAACTATCATTCAGGGACATCAACCCATTTCCGCCATGCTTTCTAATCGTGTCGCGCAAGAACAATCTTGTCATTCTTATCGCTAATGGTGAGTGAAGAGTCGGGCCTCCTGTAAAGTTGTTATTGACTTTACTTTGGGTTAAGGACTCGTCTTCGGATTTACCTACTGTCTTTCATACACGTGCTCTCGCACTCTCGCCAATACTTACGGTTGTTCAGCATTTACCATTGGCTTGGTTTTGCTTTGCTTGGGCGTAGGTAAGGCGATCCTCACACACTGGATTATGATAGGTGGCTAATTTTCCATGAAGGAAGTATCGCTGGCAGTGTGCTTAGTGGACGTTGGTCCGATCGGGTGCTTGCGAAAATGACGAAGGCGAACGGAGGAAAGTGGCACGCCGAGGTAAATATCTCATACTCCCGCACGAAGACTGTTGATTGACGTCTTCCGAAGATGCGCTTAGAGAGCTCGAAGCTGGCAATGTTGTGGCTACCTCCATTTGTCATAGGTTATGCTTGGGTGTGCGAAAAGCATGTCAACATCGCCGTCGTTTGCATCATGCTCGTACTTATTGGATTCGCCTCCATGTCAGTAGACCAATTATTTACACTTGCATTTGCGCTGACAGATACCTCTAGATGGATGTATACTAGTACATTGGCATACCTCGTTGATGCCAACCCTGGTCGCTCATGTCCAGCGGTGGCGACCAACAGCTCGTTCCGAGGATCGCTAGCTTTTGTTTCGGTTTTGGTTGCTGTACCGCTCCAAGTAAGTTTCCTTGATACATGTTGTAACTCGTAGATTCTGATGCTAGTCCGCTCTCCGCGCAGGATGCTTTAGGAGATGGGGGCTTGTATACGGCGTGGGCTGTCGTCTTAGTTGTGATGGAGTTACTTGTTTTATTGGTGCTACACAAGGGTGAATCATGGCGCAGGGAAAGCGAGGAGCGCGAGCTTAAATCAGGGAATTAAAGGGTCTTCATTGATTTTTTTGGGGTAAGACAGGGGGGTTCGATGTGACTCAAAGGGATTCAATCACGTCTGTAATATTAGACCATATACTTAAATAATGTATTTGCATAGATTTTACTTCCGGCCTCAACTACTAATATTATCCGAAGAGTTATTGAACTCAGTGTTATGATTGATATGAAGTTCACGAAGGGAGGTGTCATCTGGTAAAGACGGTGATGAAGCTAGCAATACATGTGACTCCGCATTATCCAAAAAATGTGTTGAGATTCAACTTTAAACGCGTTGTACGATCACTTGGCTGCTACGAGTCTGCGGGTGAAGGTAGGATTCGAACAGCCAACGAAACTCAAACCAGTGCGCTGATAAATAGAACAATGAACAATAACAATCTCGTTTCCGCAGTTGAGTGCGGTATAATTTCTTCCATTAATATCCCCCCCACTAACTTAGTCTGAGTTTTTGAGAAAAGACGATGTCGACTACCCAGTCCTAAGATCAACCGGAGGCGTTGTCTAGTACTTAATTGGGCGACGATGATCTTATTACATAATCTATCTGCCTCAGCCAATTAAAACTCGTTATTCGTTGTTCCTGAAGGCCTAGCCTAGAATCTTCTTTGAACGCTGGCAAGCCCGCCTTCTACTATATCGACTCATGATACCGCCACTAATCCTCTGCCACTCACTCAAGTCTCAGCGAGGAGTAGGCTCGAGCTCGAACCTCAATTCTGCTCACCGATTGAGTAGAACACGAGAATTTTAGACATTCCTCAAAGCAACTAACCTCAAGTCATTATCTAGGCGTCTCTCGGCAATCCCGGCGCTATATGCTCCTTCAAATAGTCTGAAGTCAGATGACTATGTAAGTTAGCGCTATGTACCTCAGAGGGTGTATGGGGGCCACGCGTGTGCCGCAGCCGCGATAATGTCCCAACTTTGAGCGTTGCTACGCAGCTACCGACCACCGTGATGACACCCCGATTCCTCGTCCATATTCTCAGAGCATTTCGCAAATGGCTTTTACGGCTTTCTCGCCGTTCTGCGAGTTCATTATCTATTTTCTTGGTCTTTCTCTGTCGATTTACTACGTGCCGTTTAAAGCCCGGAATTAGGAGGCCGACCACCCAACCTCATATTTCCCGGGGGGCTATCCCGCGACCTCTCGCAATGGACATCGTCGAAGAGGGTCCATACACTTGTTCCAGTCTTTTGCCTCCTTGTGAAATACAGGAAGTTGCAAGAGAGCCACCATCTGCTTCAAATTTCCCTTACGAAACAAGTTCTCGACCCTCAAGACAGATAGTACGAGAGAATACGTCAATGTCTTTGCCAGATGCAACGAGTTTGATTCTGAGTATGGGAGAGAGTCCGACGAAATACGCAACTTACACGAAACGAGTTCGTTCTCGCCGGGTCACGATCTATAATTCCGTCGGAGATCTCCACCGTAGACCTACGGACCCTGTCGATGTTCCCTTAGATGTGTTCAACCGCGCTACACCAGTATCTGATCCGGTTATAAGCTGTCACAACGTTGCTTCGCCCTACAGTCACGAGCAATTGGGTCCAGAGCAACCGGGTTCAGGGCAATCAGGCCCAGATGCCATCTTGCCAATAGGCCTCCTGGTTGCAGAGGAAGTCAGGCGCCATGAAAGGTATACACCAAGGTCAGTAGCGATCATCCCCTGCATTGATTGTACTGCAGAGCTGAAGTTGTTCAAAGGAGTTCTTTACCGTCCGAAATCGTAGTCCCTGCCATGACAGTGAAATTTCCCATGCACGAGTAAGCTTTGTTTCCATCATTTGTTACATCACCTGAAATATTTCAAGCGCGGTTGTACCACCAGGATGGACTACGCTCGTGCACCCGCAAGGTTCTCGCTACTTTGTGAACGTAGAAAGAGTGTGTCAAGTTCATGTATCATTGAATGCTGATGTCTGAGTCACAGCTACAATCAACAGCGAACATTCACACAAATGAATATTTGCGACAAAGCGATATACAGTGACATCAGACATTTCATGGATAACTTGCTGCATTCACTCTGTAATGAAAGTGAGCACCTTGAGCTTGACATGACGCAGGTGGACCTTGTGATCGAGCCGAAGGTTTCCACCGATGCCGATGGAGTGGTTTGTTGCTATTATTTCGCCAACCATCGTGATAGATGCCTCTTCTGGTTGGACGAGTACCCTACCAAGGATATTCTCTCAGAATGTAATGGCGTGGAAAATCTTTCACACATACGTGCGCAGTTCGTGGTTCTTAGTACTTGTTCCTGATTTTGACAATTCGTCTTGGTTTTTGAACTCAGGGCTTGCCATCCAAGCACAATATTGGTGCGTTTTGTTGGTTCTATATTTGTGCAAGTTAACCGACGTACACTCTAGGAAACATTGCGATTACTTCCCTTGCCTGTGCCCAATTACAGCAAACCTTGTTGATGAGGTGAAGGATATGTTGATATATGCTGAATGCGGTTAGTACTTTCTTACACTCGTGAACGTGATTTAATTGTCAGGCTGCGGTCAACAGACCACCTAACCTCCCGCCACTCTACTGCACCATTCGATGTTATCGAAACCAGAGACTATATCTCTCTCATAGATAAAATCAAAGGTGCGTTACGTTGATACACCCTCGTGGAATTTCGTGTGCTCATACTCTCTCTCCCCAAGTCCATCCCCCTGAGGACCAGAGCATGGAGCGATGTCACGCTGCCATTGTTATTGGTAATGTAACATTGAGCTCAATCTTGTCTCGATGTTGACTATTTCCAAGGCCGGATCATGTACGCATTCAGTCAGTGCTTTATCATTCGTCTTTCTAGCTGTCATTTATGCAAAATTTCAAGGTCGCAATCACTTTATCAACTCTCATGGGGAGAACTGTGTGAGACTGGCATTTGAACAAACAGTCCATCCATACACACCATCGTTGTTGATAGTTACTATCGCACCCTTTTTGTTTTTGGATCCTATGGCTCTAGTCCGAGAACTGCACACGATATTTGTCGACAACACGCCTTCCTCAGATCGGTGGAATGCATTCAATTTAAACCTGAATGGTCAGCTTCAGGACTCCACTCTTTTGGTCAATCTACTTGTTCATTGTTGTGTCGCGCGTGCAACTGATGTTGAACCAGGCCACTGTCTTACTCAATGCCAATGTTGGGTTTCTCGCTATCAACAGCGTTGATGTGGGCGGTAGATCCCCCATTCAGGTGGCAAGTTACATGTCTCTTGTGTCAAGCTTGGGAAGTATGATTCTCGGCTTGTTACTTGTTTCGCATAATCGAACTGTAGGCCAATTGGGCACGGTCCTCCAAACGGTCAGTAACTACAAATCATGATCACAATGATTCTCACAGCAAATCTATTAGGAAGTTTTTCTATCAGGACTCGGCGACAAAGAACGCAGACTTGAAAGGCTGGCCATAATTTACAGCCTCCCGAAAACGTTGCTCATGTGGGGGTGAGTCCCTATCCTAATATACTAGATGAATGCCCTTATTCAAATATGTCAGCATGATCTTCTTCTTTGCGGCATTTTCCCTCCATTGGTGGACACCCGGAGATCAAACTACCAGAGCCGTTGTTGGTTCTGTGATAACGGTCGCACTTGCAATGATCTTGTACGGCATCGTTCGGGCCAAGTATGGAGGAGATCGCTGGTGGCGAATGCCAATAGTGCTACTTGCAAGAATTGGCCTGAAACTACCAACTCATCTGGCTGACGCTGGCAAGCGAATCATGGTGTTCATCTGGATGAGCAAAGCTCGGTTTGTCCAAGATCCCCCTCGATCAGAGACTGAAGGAGTTGTTCTGGCTCCACCGAGTAGTCCTGCATGCCGCTCTCAAACAAACGCCGAGGCAAGTATTTTGGGGCGCGGCGCATCCTATCCAACAACTCCACCTAGTTTCCAAACCAGACTACCCAGCCCGGAGAATCATGAACACCACCCAAACTCTTCTATTCTCTCAACTCCATCCCAACCCACCGCTTCTGTGGATCTACATCTACAACCGCATGACGGCATTCCCATGCTTCCACAATCAGATCCGCACATCAGCCCTGGCGGTTTACCAGGCGTTGGCTCATTGCAGCAGATTCGAGAGTTCCAGATTATATTCCGGTCTACTGCAGAGGCTCGCTATGAACCTGATACTGCACCCTTAGGCGTGCCTGGTTTTTGTTGCACTGAAGGAATGGAGGTTATGGACTGCACCGCGAATGTGGTCGAGGAGCCAGAGGAATTGGAACACCCTCAACCTTCATCAAGCTAGTCCGGTGCACCTGACTTTGAGGACGGGCACAATAAGGAGTGCAAGACTAGGAGAAATGGCTCATTATACGATGAAGACTAGTACTGCCGGGGTGAGCACTAGCGCACTGCTGACCGATAAGTATTACCAGTCGGAAGTGTACCATAGTAAAAAAGTGTCCTTAGAATTCGGCTTTTGTTACCGACGCTGAACGTCCTGCAACTTGACTACGGAGTATTCGACGCATGATCCCAACTCGCAAAATACAAGTACACGTATCACACATTCAATATATGATGGACTGATCGACGGTCAAGGAGTTCAAGCTAAGAGTTACACTACTTTGCGTTCCTCTGAGTAAATAAGTTACGGTGTATACTGCTAGTAAATTGTCATGAAAAGCCATAAAGGGGTTTAGCTCCACCTGCTTGAGCAAGTGAAGACTAATTGTATAGGAATAGAGTCACCGGAAGCATTTCGAGCTTGTCCAGAAGTCACAGTGATACACTCGACAACGATGATGACGACATATGATTAAAAGTTCGACCGGGGCTATATCTACGTGCGAGTGGCCACTTCTAAGATGGCATGCACGACTGCGGCAGGGTCGATTTGAATTTCCTGAGCAAGGTCACTCCCTGGAGCAACAGGTGGAAGACTGTCATTTTCGAACCGCCTATGGATGGATGAAATGAGGCATCGAAGAAGAAAAAAGGCAGAGCATACCGATCATTCCACCAGGCGATGTAGTGAATGCCTAAGGAACGGACCGCCGTTTCTGCTTCGCGAGTGAAGACATCAGAAGGAAAGAATTCCATGAGAGCCGAGTGTCCTGATGGCCTCATAAACACGCTGTCAGCGAGGCTATCTCCGTAAACACCCAGAATGACCTTCATGCAAGTCAGTCGTAGTGCAATAACTTTACAAGTGACACAGGCTTACATTAGACTGAGCGACGGCTGACAATCTTTCCGCCCAGTGTCCCTCTGAAGAGACTATTTTGACCTCGAAGTCGTTGCTTTCGTGCAACGTCTCAAGAGCGTTGACCAACGCATTGTGGTCGGCACTCCTTAGCCTTGACCCATTTATGGCATCTTGTCGAGATATGTAAGTGACTACTGTTTTTTCCTGTCCGCTGTTGAGGTTTTGTGTATGGTGGTTTACATACAAGAACTTGGCGAGATTCTGCCTAATTGGCTCCCACCATTCCTTTGGCGCATCCAAGCCAACAAGTGGAAGAGAGAATGGAGGTACATCGCTTGTTGAACGTGCAGCTGCACCAAAGTCGGCAACAACCAGCCTCTCGAAAACGAAAGGCATTTCCATAAGCGCATAATCTTCCCAATCTTCTTTATACATCAGCCCGAGTAATGGAAAAGCGGCCTTGGGAAGATATGGATGAAAACCACTGTCCGAACGTTGACGTCTAACGATGGGTCCATTAAGGTCGGGTTGTATTCCTTCGAAAGTAGGAATGTTCGGGAAGAATAGTCGTCGTGGCGGACGGAAAGGGTCTGAAGACGTTGAGGTGTTCAGAGAGCTATGGGTCTTCCATAGCGAAAAAAGTGTGTAGTTGCCTAGATGTTATATGAGGACATAATTCATGGAAATGCAGGTGTTGACAAACTCGGAATTGCAGCATACGATAACCAACTCGTGCCTTGAATACTGGTTGACATTAAGAGCGTTCAAAATAGTACACGTGCGACACTCACAATCCACCGTATGAACCAAGTATATCACTGGCTTGCTCAATCGACAACATATCCCATTCCCTTGGAAGCGGAGCTTCGTGCGAGTTGTCAGCAGAAGATGCAATGGAACCCAACGAAGGGAAGCTTAAAGGAGAATCCGTCACAATAAAAATTGTGCCATTGCACATCATTACATTGTCCATGATCGAGAACCCTACAGAGTTTGCGATAGGCAATATTATCAGTATCATGCATGTCGATAAGCAATTGCAGCACACATACCAGCGACATGCTTCACTATTCGAGTCTCAGGAATGTCTTCGCCCCAGCGCATGAAGCCATCGTTAACACCGATGTTTCCGAAGATGACTTGTTTTTGCGCCTCAGATACACGTTCGGTCTTTAGCCACACATCTCCTTCTGAAGCTCCTTCCTTTTCTTGCTGCTTATGGACGCTGGATATGCGTCTGTCGTCGGATACCCAGTCCCCATATATGTCCATGTCAAGACTACCATCAACGGTGGGATTTGAGGATATGCCAGGCAGGTTAGGATTGGAAAAAATGTCCGAAGTCGCATCGAAGTTGTAGAAGACCAAAAAAATCATGACGGAGAATAGAACGAGCGTTATTTCCCGCCGACTGAAAGACCAAGGCCGAGCCATTGTTTCAGCTCTGACCTACGCAGAAATCTGAGCCGTCTTGTCGAACGAGTGGAGATAGTAAGTAGTATAGTGCCTTGTAAATTCAACAAGTACAAACACGCATCGTCTGACGTCAATGGTCACTCGCAAAGTACATCCAGAACACGACCAAATATATATGCAAATACTACAAGAAGATCGAATGTAATAAAAAAGTGTATAAGGGTAAGATACACAGAAATTTACGCCTCTTGGCTTGCACCCTCCTTCTTGCCTTTGCTGTAAAAGATGTCAGGTCTGAATGGACAGACATACAACACGCAGCATACCTTGATTTGCTAGGCAGTAACTCAGGGTTGATGAAGGGGACTACTCCTCCTTGTGAGATAACTACGTCACCCAGGAGCTTGTTCAATCTAAGTCATGTCAGAGTCACCGAACCTTGGAGATAGGAGAACAACTTGCTCTTCATCGTTTCGGATGGCCAACTGAAGATGACGGGGCACAATACGTTGTTTCTGTGGCGATTATTAGCTCATGGCATTCAAGAGACAGAGGGTTCACCAACCTTGTTATCACGGGCGGCATTGCCTGCAAGCTCGAGAATCTCAGCGGCAAGGTACTCAAGAACCGCGGCAAGGTAGACTGTAGTTATTCGGTGTTAGACCAGGTAGATTTATCTGAGATGGACTCGACTTGCCTGGAGCGCCCGCGCCAACACGCTGGGCATAGTTGCCTTTCTTCAAAAGACGATGAACACGGCCAACAGGGAACTGAAGACCAGCCTTTGCAGAACGTGACTGCGATTTCCCTTCGGTACCAGCTTTTCCGCCAGAAGATTTGCCAGCTTTTCCTGTACCGTATACCACACCGTGTTAAACTTGAGCCGACCAAAATTCCCAAAGCCACTGACCCTTGCCAGACTAAGAAGTTACGCAAATTATATTTTGCTCTAGTTGATACAAAAGAAGGGCATACCATTGATAGCACTAGTTGAGTTGAGCGGCTATGAGATTGGTGGTGGTTTGTGATAAAGGGATGATAATCAACAAACGGAGAACGCGACATCCCGTTTATATACCTTCACGTGATATAGAACCCTTCACTTCCTGATTAGGAATCTTTACTTTTCACCAAATGCTTGTCCGCGCACTTGTCCATGCACGGTGGCAAGAAACAGCTACCTTACGCAGGTTTATTCAGCATCCAGGATGTAAAAGAGATTTGTCTTCCGGAAGTGATGGAACTGCGGAAAAGAAACCGTCAGCGAAGGCAACTGCCGATGAGTTGACAGTGTTGCCGTTCCTGCAGCGCCCACTCGGTGTGAAGGAGAGACCTTTGCCTGTCCTGAAAACATGGGCGGACACCAGGGAGGAGCTTATGAATCAGGAGACGCGTTTGGCACAAAGAGAGCACCTGTGAGTTGGTTACAATTGATATGTTTTGAAGTTGTTTTGACTGCTTGCAAGGGTGAAAGAAGCCACGAAGGGCTATTTTACTGATCTCAATGCAACGAGGAGACACGGTGGTAAGACGTGGATAGCACCTAATGTGATGATCCGCGAGGATGTATGTTCCATCATTCTTCATGATGGCAAGGAGACTGACAATGTGATCCAGAAAGCATTTTATTTCCCAAACATTGTCGGGTCGAGTCTGGATACGAAATCTAAGAAACATACCGCCAGTATGTGTGAAGGTCGTATCTCTGTTATATCCATGTTGTCTAGCCAGGATGTCAGAGGTATGTTGATGTCTCCTGAATGTTTTTCTCGGCGTTGAGCATACTTAGATACACGTGAATGGTTTCACGACACCGACAAATGAGAGATATCTCTCGAACCCCATGTACCAATATGTGCAGATAAACTTGCAAGAAAACCTTCTAAAGTCCTTTCTCGTGTCGCTATTTCTTTCATCGATAGCCAAGTCGGTCCCCCAAGAACTACATTCGACATACTTGGTGTCGAGTCAAAACATGGAATTCGTGCGCGAGCACCTTGGTATGGTAAACAAACACATCGGATACGTCTATCTTGTGGATGACAACCTCAAGGTCAGATGGGCTGGTTGCGCAGATGCCAAGGTAGAGGAAACGAATGCACTTGAGCAATGTACGGGAGTGCTATTAAGCAGACTAGAAAAGAAAAGATCTGCCAAAGCCCCACGATAGTACTCGCGTGTCAAGCACCTATTCGTGAATTACATTAGATAATTACAGCATGCAATTGACTTTTTTGTTGAAGACTTTCTATCAGGCAGAAAGTTGTTTGTTCGTGTTGGCTACGTGTCGTTGTAACAAAATCCTTTCCAACACTTGCTGTGACCTATAACTCTCAAATCGATCGATTTCACGTCCATGGCTTCTCCTTCTCAGCAGCTTCCTCCTGGCTGGACAGCGGAATGGTATTAGACCTGTCAGCTTTAATTTTCTACACTTTTATTGACGAAATACTTGTAGGGATCCTACTAGCCAGAGATATCTTTTCATCCGTGCGTGACTTGCATGATCATTGGCATTCACCAATATCTTTTCTTGCAGAGGCATCTACTGGACGCAGCCAATGGGAGATACCGACACCACCAGCTCAACCGATAGACCATGCACCGTCAGTGTCACCTCCCCCATCCACAACTCATCACGGTAAGCGTCGCCAATACGCCGCCGGACAGACGCAAGCGTACTACGGCGCGGGCGATGCCCTTGGAGACCAATATGGCGCACTTGGTGTACCACAGCAGCAGCAGTCGGCAGCCACCGCTCAGCTCTTCACTCCAGGACTCGCGGCAGAGGGGGGTTTCGCGGGTCAGCAGCAAGGCCCGCAGGCATCATACTACGCACCCCTACCGGAGCCCCAGTACATTAATGCCCCTGGGTTTGGCCAGGAACCTACGTTTCATCCACCTAATGCGCCAATTCACCATCTCACAGATCAATTCGGGCAGATGGGGATGGGGCAGAAGTCGCTGCATCTCACTACCACCAATCTACTTACGTCGCCACCAGACCCTCGTGAGCTGGTTCGCCCTCCTCCCGAGATTAGGTTGCCTGTGAACGCGTGCATAACAACATCACCGTACGCGAATGCAGATCCATCGTACCAGCGGTGCACCGTCAATGCCATTCCGACCACATCTTCGATGCTGAACAAGTCCAAGATTCCGTTGGGTCTGATTATCACCCCCTACCGAACGCTGAAGGAGGGCGAGCCACCGGTACCTGTTGTAACCGATACGGTGATCGCACGATGCAGACGGTGCAGGACGTATATAAATCCTTATGTTCAATTTATCGACAACGGCAATCGGTCAGTTTGATATGCATCTGAGATTTATGCAGTATGCTGACCTATTATCCATCATAGTTGGCGGTGTTGTATGTGCAGCATGTCGAATGAGGTCCCTCAGCTCTTTGATTGGGACCAGATACGGAGTCAGCCTGGAGATCGGTGGGCTAGAGACGAACTGAACCACTCCGTCGTCGAATTTGTTGCTCCCACAGAGTACATGGTCCGCCCACCACAGCCGGCTGTGTATGTGATTCTTATCGATGTGAGCCATACCGCCGTGCAGTCAGGTAAGTCATTGCGGTTGGTGAAGTACCAGCTTCGTGATATCTTCCTATAGGCATGGTGGCAACGGCGACACGTACTATTCTTGAGAACCTTGATCGCATACCCAACGAGGACGAGCGCACCAAAGTCGCCATTATCGCCTACGACGTTTCTCTTTATTTCTTCTCTATGCCTGTTGGTTATTTATAAACCTCTGAGGTCTCGTGCTCATGTGTTGTTGCAGCCCGGGACGACGGAATCGACTATGCTCGTTGTTTCGGACGTTGATGACGTGTTTTTGCCGAAACCTACCGACCTCCTCATAAACTTGACGGAAGCGCGTCAGTCGCTGGAGTTACTTCTTGGCAGGATCAATGACATGTTCCAGGATAATCACACTGTTGGAAGTGCTATGGGCCCTGCATTGCAAGCTGGCTTCAAGCTGATGGTCAGTTTCCGAATGGAAAGGCATTGCAGTTGCTGACTTGTTTCTAGGCTCCTATTGGTGGCAAAATTATAGTACTCTCATCCTCCTTGCCAAACGTTGGCGCTGGCTCCCTCAAAAACCGTGAAGATCTCAAAATTTTGGGCACTTCCAAAGTAAGCCTTTGCTCATGTTGCCAATTATATTATAGCTGATGAATCTCTTGTAGGAATCAGGCCTGTTGCAAGCTGCTTCACCCTTCTACAAGACATTCGCCATCGAGTGCTCTCGTGCCCAGGTATCGGTGGACATGTTCCTATTCAGCGCTGCATACCAGGACGTTGCCAGTCTCGGTTCGTGGACCTCCCATCATTCTCTTCACCCCAAGTCCACCTAATGTATTTCAATAGCTTGTCTCCCACACTATACTTCCGGTCAAACCTACTTCTATCCTGCATTTAATGCTGCTCGGTCCGAAGATGCCATTAAATTTGCGCACGAGTTTGGTGAGGTTCTCGCGATGCCCATCATGTTAGAAGCCGTTATGCGTGTCCGTGCTTCGAAAGGTCAGGGATTCTTTTACGTTGCCGCTATCAATGCTCATCGATGCAATCAAGGTTTGCGCATGGCTTCGTTCCACGGAAACTTCTTCGTCCGCTCCACTGACCTTCTGGCCATGCCCGCCGTACCCACCGATCAGTCTTACGCCATCGAGATCCAGATTGAGGACACCCTTACGCAACCCTTTGTAGTCATGCAAACTGCAGTCTTACACACGACGTGTCATGGGGAGCGGCGTATTCGTGTTATTACACTTGCGTTGCCCACAACTAACAGCCTCACGGAGGTTTTCGCGTCTGCTGACCAAGTGGCAATCGCAACCCTGCTAGCGAACAAGGCCGTGGAACGTTCACTTACCCACAAGCTAGAGGATGCTCGTGATGCAGTGCATCAGCGGCTGGTGGAGATCTTGTCTAGTTACAAGAGCAGTATGACATCCGCAGGTGCAGGTGCGAATGCCCAACTAGCGATCTCGGAGAACCTGAGAATGCTGCCTGTGTTGGTTCTTGGACTGCTGAAGAATGTGAGTTCGTCACATCGTTTTGTCACGAGTGACCTGACTCGCTCTGCTATGTAGGTCGGTATTCGCCAAAGCGCGCAAATTCCTCCCGATCTCAGGGCCTATGCCCAGGCTTTGCTGACCACCTTACCTTCTCAAACGCTCATCCCGTACATTCATCCCACGTTCTTTTCGCTGCACAACATGCAACCCGAAGTAGGTTGAGCTTGGATATTCGAGTTCAATATTCACTAACATTGTTTCCAGGCTGGAACAGTGGGTGAGCAAGGTGTAATTTTGCCGACCCCTTTGCCCCTCACTTCGGAACGGCTGGAGAGGCATGGTTTGTACCTAATCGAGGATGGTCAGACAATATTCTTGTGGATAGGCCGTGATGCTGTACCACAACTCGTAATGGATGTCTTCAACCTTCCGAATTATGAAGTGCTACGTGGCGGCAAGGTGATTATATTATTGTCTTGCGAGTTGCTTTCTTCATGTTGCTGATATACCCCTTACGATCAGACGACACTTCCTGTTCTTGACAATGACTTCTCACAGCGGGTCAATGCCATCGTTCAGAAAATCCGCGAGATGCGCAGAGGCGTTTACTATCCTCATCTCTACGTCGTCAAGGAGGACGGCGAGCCCCCTTTGAGGCTCTGGGCCCTCAGCTGTCTCATTCAAGATCGTGCCGATGTTTTACCGAGCTATCAACAGTTTATTGGACAACTCAAGGACAAGGTTAATGGAGCCAATAATTACTGAACCTGTATCCTCTGCGCGCAAGCTTATCAAACCGAATTCGGACGAACGGAAGTCTGGACCGAGATATTACGCGCTTTCTCCTACTTTACTATACGGCGTTGTAGAAATGACATGTGCAGACTGAGATAAAGATGTTTTTGCTTCCCTTTTGTAGGCATCACGTAAACGTTAACGTCAAGGCGTAGTTCCAAGATCTGCGGTGTGCGTAAAGTTTGTCCGATGGACACAGTACTGGAGAGTAAGCTCTGATTTCGGATAGAAAATTAGAGACACTCACTGGCAGTTAACTTAGTTACCGTTGTGGTATGTTCCACGGCTGAACAATTCGCGTTTCAGAAGCCAATCATGTCACGGTCACGCCTGGGTTCATGTTTCTAGTTTTCTGGCCCGTGTCGCGAACGGCTAACAATTAACAAGCCACAATCAAGTTCAGGTCAATTATAGGGCCACACTAGTGAAGTGGCACGACTTGAGACTTCGGATACGAGGAGCACCGATGAACGTCGAAATTACATGCTCGTTATTTTTGAGTATGTAAAGGAGCGGACCATTTGTCCGAGACTCCAATTGACTTGATCTCATAAGAAGTTGGCGTATATATGGGTGTACGCAGTGTGAGTCCCATTCTTTCTCATTTTCTCTTCGTCAAATGTCACTTTCATCAGTTACAACTTACCCCATCTTTACCTCAGACGAGACGCGTCTCACCCCTGGGGACGCATCGACATGTCAAACGTCGCCTAGGCCGCCCTGCAAGCTTGATATTGCGAAGGGCGATGCGGCAGACATCGTCGAACTTTCGCCCGTGACTCCATTAGAAAAGCAGAATTATGATTTAGAAAGTCCATCGGTACTTTCAGCTACACGCAAAGCACAAAGAACACGAGAGAAGATTCAGTTTTTGACACTCTGTTGGTTCGTCTATCTGGAGGGTTGGAATGATGGATCAAATGGCCCTCTGTTGCCGAGGATTCAGAAAGTTTATGGGGTGCATCTTTTGTGTGCTGTACCATAACTGCTTGTTGATATATTTTCTAGGTTGGATATGCTGTTGTGTCTCTGATTTTCGTTTTCGCTTGCGTGGTCAGTTTATACACGAAACTCTGGACCGATAATAATTCTCATCGTCTGTGGGCTAAACAGGGATTTATCACGGGCGCCGTGTCTAATGTGATTCTTGCTGAGAAGCTAGGATTCGGAAAAGTACGCCCATATAGACTGGACATCTTATGTGACGATGCTGACTTTTCGGAAGGTGATGGTTCTAGGTACTGCCACTGATATCGAGGGCCGGCACGATTCTCAATTTATCGCACTCTAGGTTCCCTATGTCAAGTCTTGGGATACTGTATCGACTCTTCGGGGCCCCCTTTTCCCGTGTTTGTATTTGCGTACTTCATTAACGGAATTGGAATAGCTCTGCAGGCAGATATATTTGTTTATCATGATTCACCTTTACTAATTGGTGACACAGAACGCAAATTCAGTCGGCTATGTTGCATTGTTCAAAGAAAATGCAGAAGCGAAGATGGGCTTTTTCATGGCAGGTATGTAGGAGGTATTTTTATGTAGGCTATTCACCCACTTACTCTCGAATTATGTAGCATATGGTAATTTTACCATCATTTTTTTTTTTTCGTAAAGTTGATGTTCACAACTCATAGGTGCCGGGGCACTCTCATCGCCTCTGGTTGCCACTCAATTTTCGCATCTACGTCATTGGAATCTACATTACTTGACATCCCTTGGAATTGCGATCACCAATACAATCGCCTTGATTATAGTTTTCCGATTGAAGCCCCAGGCAGGTAAGGATAATACGCATAACACGTTTTTGCTTGATTTCTGAGATCATTCCAATTCTTCAGAATGTCTTTCTGAGATAGGCATCGTGCACGAAAATAACAATGCAAGCGAGCACAGTCATCTCAGGCAGATATTCGGAAACAAAGATGTCCATCTTCTGGCAGCATTCACTCTAATCTATGTTGGAGCCGAGGTTACTCTTGGCGGTTTGTGATCGTCTACAATAATTCTAATATTATCTGACGATCTGAAAAGGCTGGATTGTCACCTACATCATTGGTGTCAGAGATGGGGGGCCCTCATCTGGTTATATTGCTAGTGGTTTTTTCGGCGGTATGCGATAGTGCTCGTCGATGGACTTTGACTCATACTCCTATTCTGTAGGTCTCATGATTGGGCGGGTGGCTTTGCTATGGGTTAATAGAAAGGTAGATTGCTCGATTTATGCTGAATGAAGATTTCTGCTAATTTAGGACCCAATAGGTCGGAGAACGCTTGGCCTTGTTCATATATTCCGTGCTGGCTATCATGTTAGTAATGGAAGTGTGCTTGTTCTATCATCACTGATACATCCATTTCTGATAGTTTCGAGTTAATTGTATGGTTCGTGCCATCTTTGGTAGGAGATGCAATCGCTGTCAGCGTGGTTGGCGTGTTGTTGGGACCGTTGTATCCAATTATGGTGAACCATGCAGGACGCGTCCTTCCTCGCTGGTTACTCACTGGTATGTCTCAAACAGTAACAATTTTTCTAATTCACGAATTGCTGGGACATAGGTTGCCTTGGTTGGATTGCAGGCGTAGGGCAGGCAGGCTCTGCAATGATCCCGTTTATGGTGGGTGCTATCGCGCAAAAATCAGGAATACAATCCCTGCAGCCTGTGTACGTATCATAATAACGATGCATGTCACACCTCACATTCTTTTTTAGATTGATCGGGATACTGTGTCTTATGATTGTGCTGTGGGCGCTGTGTTCAAATTCGCGTCGTCCCAATTGAAGTGCACATAGGGTGTATGATAAAGTTTAATAGGAAGGCTGCCGTGTACTGAGTACTCGGGCCGGTGTAAGCAGAAGTGTGTGCTCGTGATCTACGAATTTAACTTTGGAGTAAATATTATCCATCCTTGGTGGTTTGCTGCCATGTTCCCGGACCACTGCGTCTAATCTTCAGCCAAAAATATTGCAGGGTACGGATCACTTGGCCACGCTTCCACAACACCAAGGGCATGAAGTAGACAACGAAAAGTTCATCTACTATGTGGCATACCATACTCAGCCGGCACACAATCAAATCGGAAAGTAAAGACATCATGTTCAGCAAAACAACACCTTCATAATACTGCTGCAGCACTGAAATTGAAAAAGGATACTCAAATGATAACATATCATTCACCATCGGCATTACTACGTACTGTTCTATCGCTTGAATGCCCATGAACAGTGGATCCTTCGATGTCCCTCGCAGCATCAGATTCATGGTCGAACAAGAAAAAAGGTTGCTGAAAATTCTTCGTGGTACCATAGACCTCCTGGTACACCATTTTAGAAAAAGTCTTGCATGACAACTTCAAGTTGGATGGGTGAATTTTTCTAAAGCAATACACTCCCAGTTTAGAGGCCTCTTACTTGACGTGTTGCGTTAGAAGTCGATGAGCGAGGAGAAAAACAGCTTAACCGCGGCGGAGGCTCCTTCCCAACTCTATTTCGAGTGTAGACTGCGTTGTTGTGAGTTATTGAATGAGCTGGGATTGAATTTTTACACGTGCTTGCCTGCTAGATCTGAGCTACACGTAGGCTCGAATCGGCGATCATATATTGGCCCTCAGCGGCCAGACAGGCTGGCAGTCCACCCCAATACACTCGAAGCAGCGGTGGGAAAGAGCTTGTCTGAGCTCAGGCGACACCGTGCTTCTGGCATCGTACCGTAAGTTCTACACTTGTTTACGTACTAGCTTATAGAATGATTATTAACAATTATGACAAGTTCACTCGCATGATCAATGCCACAACAGCCTAGAGCCCTTTGCGGGCGCCGTGGCTTGGGATTTTCACTCGCAGCTCTTCCGAGTAGGCAATGTGATATCTTTTAGAGGAAGATCAAAACGCCCTTATCAGAATCTCCTTTATCGCTTCCTCGAACGCACTCAACCACCAATTTTCGTTTCCGAGTCATAACCTTGGATCTAAGAACATTCTTAGAATTTCTTACAAAGGTTGTAGTTGACGCATACGTCCAGAACTTATTATGCAGACGACGACAGTCAGCGAAGATCAAACGGTCTCTCATCATTCGACAATTGGCCCTCACCACAATCTTGAAGACAGTGACAAACACAGTGGACGAATTGAAATGCGAGCGGCGTCGTCTGCAAGTGATTCGAGAGCAGCATCTGTTTCTGACCTAAAAGCCCAACCGGCACGTCAACGGCTGCGCGCACAAGTGCAATTCGCGACAGCTTGTGGGTCGATGTACCTAGCCGGATGGAATGATGGGACAACCGGTCCGCTGCTCCCCCGGATACAAAAAGTCTATGGCGTAGGTGGTTTCAAACACCTACGTCTCTCTTTCAAATTTAACCTCCTATAGTTGAATTTCACTGTCGTATCCCTGGTATTCGTGTTCGCATGTGTTGTAAGGTTTCACTGCAGTGTGCACGATTCGCCCATGAGTCTGAGTCACTCGATAGGGATTCCTATCTGGAGCATTTGCAAACCTATATCTAAATGGCAGATTCGGTTTCGGGAAGGTAAGTTCATCTATTTTGATTTTTTATGATATCTAAGGCACGCTCCGTGGTATAGGTGATTGTGTTAGGTGAGGGCGGATAATTGCAAGCAGAGATCACAATCGCCTTATCATTTCTCAGGATCTGCGTGTCAAGTTATAGCATACGCCATAGAGGCGGGTGCCTTGCCATTTCCTGCATTCGTGCTAGGTTACGCAATCAATGGTTTTGGCATGGCTCTACAGGTAAGTCACACAAATGCAATGGATTTTACTGCCCGGATGGACCCTGAAACCAGGATGCACAATCGAATGGTTATGTGGCCAGTCTGAAGGATAACCCCGAGACGAAAATGGGGATTTTGCATGCGGTAAGTGTTCTCTTGTCCGTGAACTCTCAATTCATCTTTCTATTGAAAGGTATACGGTGTGTTATACCTCTCCCATGGCGGTGCAACATGATGAATGTTTCTATTTTCACTTTCCAGGTGCTGGCGCTTTGTCGTCCCCTTTGGTTGCAACGCAATTTGCTCAGCTTCCGCATTGGTCATTTCACTACCTGTGCAGCCTTGGTATTGCGCTCATAAACACTGTATCGTTGATTGTAGTCTTTAGGCTGAAAACACAGGATGGTATGGCAAGCACTTATATCATTGAGAAGATGGTTGAGCATTTCACAGAGTGCCTTGCTCAGATTGGGCAGCCAGCAGGCGCAAAGGGGACGGATGAAAAGAGCCAGTTCAGCCAGATATTTCGGCTCAGAGAAGTGCACCTCCTCGCCTTTTTTATTTTGATATATGTAGGAGTGGAGGTCACTGTAGGTGGTAAGTATACAACTTGAGTTGAGAGCATGCTCACCCAGATTTGCTCAGGCTGGATGGTGACGTACATAATCGACGTGCGCGGTGGAGGTTCAAGTTCGGGATATATATCATCAGGTTTTTTTGGAGGTGAGGTTTCCCGAGTATGCTAGGGGATCGACTGTTTATTTTCAAATAGGTCTCATGCTTGGCCGTGTCGGTCTGTTGTGGGTGAACAAAAAGGCAAGTCTCTATCCTATTCATAGCATGCAACATAGATACTAAAGATTACAGGTTGGGGAACGTCGCGTTTTGTTCATTTACGCCATCCTCGCAATTGGGCTGGAACTAATCGTATGGCTGGTGCCTTCGCTTATCGGTGGAGGCGTTGCGATCTCCATTATTGGTGTGGTTTTGGGGCCGATGTATCCCATCGCTATGAATCACACGGTTCGAATCCTCCCTGAGTGGCTAGTCACAGGTAATGTCGTGTCTAGTAGCACAAGTATGGTCAACTGAAACCTGAATGTAGGGTCGATTGGCTGGATAGCGGGTTTCGGGCAGGCAGGTTCTGCGCTCTTGCCATTCTTGACCGGTGTCATTGCAGCGAAGACGGGAATCCAGAGTTTACAGCCATTGTAAGTGTTACTTATAGTTATGCACGTGCTTGATAAACTGATCATCGGTGGTACAAAGTCTTGTGGCGATGATGGTGTTCATGACCGTCTTGTGGGCTTTAGTGCCGAGAACTGCTAGGCGAACTGGATGATATATACTCCGTTATTATGTCTTGTGGAGGGTTTTAAATGTGGCAGTAGATCCATCTAATAATCTCATTATGAATCCTCTCTGTCAGTGAATTCTGGCAAGTTTCACGTATTTGCCCAGACTCCATTTCGGCGGGAGGTGTTACGTATCCTGATACATTTGTCTTAGATAATCAAGCTGCTCAGCATCTGGCGGTTCGCGCTGGCTTATCCACGCACTACCTGTTTGTCAGCTCAACCTTATCTTTGGTATAATTCCTTGCTTGATCCGATCCAACTCGCCAAAATCAAATTCATTTCTCTCGAGCACTTCAAATTCGCCAATGCTTTGAACTTTTTCAGTCCCTTTCAACTCTTTGAGAGCCGCAAATTCAGCGGCAACATCGTTCGACGAGATAATCTCTGAACCTGCAAGATGGTCATCTACATCACGAGACTCACCCGAGAGTTGAGATACTGGCATTGATTAGTTTCTCCCTATATGACCAGCTACTGTCATCGTCCTCAAGTGCTTCACTTTTCTCTCGAACAACAACTAGAAGAACTAGGAGCTCATTAAGTCTGCCGTGGACTACTACCTGAAGTCTCTAACGGCCGTCGCATCGGTGAATGGAACAAAAGATATTTCTCGTCGAGACTACGACGGAGGTTTTGCACTTACTGTTCAATGACATCTTTGTGATACAATTGGTTGTAGACCGGGGTGGAAGGGGGCATTTGAAAGGTGAATGATCTGTCTGCTTCATTTGGACCTTTCTTATTGTTATTTTACATGTACAGCTTAAGCCCTACCTCTCCGGGAAATGCTGTCGTGTTTTTCCACGTCTGCTCAGCGTTGTCCTAATCTAGGATTTTTTTTTGTTATATCTTCACCAGATATCAATCGTGAATCTTTGATATTTGGCATCTTTATGACAAGAAATTCCGATTATCGCCAGAAGATGCGCATGCAGTTTGAAGTTCTTCGATCTCTTGCGCTGTATTCGGTCCGCGTAACTGCTTCACAGTGACCAACATCTTCTTTGAGCGCCTGGTTTAAGTTTATACTACTAGTTAACTGAAACCTGAATGTAGGGTCGATTGGCTGGATAGCAGGTTTCGGGCAGGCAGGTTCTGCGCTCTTGCCATTCTTGACCGATGTTATTGCATCGAAGACGGGAATCAAGAGTTTACAGCCATTGTGAGTGTTCTTTATAATTATTCCTGTGATTAATGAATTGATCATTGGTGGCACAAAAGTCTCATTTCGATGATGGGGAGCGCTTATGATCGTCTTACGAGCTTCAGTGTCGGGAACTGCTAGGAGAACTGAATGATATATGCCCTGTTGGCTGTGTTATGCAGCAGTGGATCTATCTAATGACCTCATTATGAACGCCCCCCTTGAAGGAGTCTTGATGAATTCTGGCAAGTTTCACCTATTTGCCTAGACTCCAGTAGGGGTGTTATCCTTCATCGCATTCGTCTTTGATAATTGACAACTGCAAAACCTTAATCCAACACTTGGAAACCACTGATGATTCGACAACCGGTGCACAGGCATCTTGGTAAAAGTTGCCTAGTTTCTCGTATTCCATTATATTCTTTGCGTGGGAGACTAAATTCGTGATGATTTCCTCGTGCTGGAATAAGCGCGCAAACAAAGTAAATACAAATGTGTGCGCAAGCAAAATTACCTTCACCAACTCCAGGGTTAGTTAACCAGTACATGATGAGTATAGCAATTCATAAGAAGGGTATGGAGATACTGAAAGCTTGAAGTCGACTACACTCAAACACACGACAGCAATCTCAACTTTTGATGGTCTTTCTTCTTGAGCTGCTCCGTGTCGCAGCGGCCGCGCCAGCACCCGCCATTGAAGTTCGTGTGCTTTTTCTAGGTTTGGTCGCTTTTACAGGAGGCGGTGACGGGTCTGGTGACATGGACAGCACTGACGAAGTTGTTGACAACCTGGACGACCGGCGCGCAGGCGTCTTTTCTTCCTTCATAGGTTTGACTTTGACTGAGGTGCCCGTTCGGGTTTTACGAGCCGTACGTGTCGGCGGCAAGGGAGCGATATCATCTTCGTCCTGGTCCTCTTCATCATCAAGTAAAGAGCCAGGTACGGTCTGTGTGACAACAGGGCCTTTGGTATTATCTTTCCAGGAACTGGCGGTTTTGCGTCGAGGACTAGGTGAATGCGCACGAGGTTGAGGCCGACTGGCACCGCGATGTCGCGGAACAGTACTTTTGTCAGGGGAACCAGCATCACTTTCGTCCTCATCTTCGTCATAAAATGCACCTGGAGGTGCACGTTTCTTGGTTTCTACCTGCTTAATCGCGGGTGCACGAGTGCGTTGCTCAGGCGAGCTCCTGTTGCCGAACACGGAGAAGCCGAGCTCAGGCTCATCATCCATGTCATCTGGCATGGCACTGACGTCACCATCTTCATGGATGATAAAGGCATTGTCGTCATCAGATTCCATGCTGATGTCGTCTGCCCTGTGAGGATGAGGACGTGTGGGCACATCTTCCGTAGGAAGCGCACGGGTTGTTCCAGTCGATACCGGCGGAGGCTTGTAGAACGCATTCGGTGCCTGTTTGGCACTGCCAGTTTTCTCAAACAGTGATGTATTTGGCACGTTGGATGCGTACGTAGTCTTTGATAAGGCGCTGCTATGCGCAAATTTGATTCCAGATTGGCCCACGAGGGGGACAAGTGGTGCGGCAACAGGTTTGCGCAATGGAAGCTGGGAAAATGGCGATGCGACAGGTGGCTTTTGGGGTGGCGAAGTGATGAGACTCCCTGAAGCTGGCCTAGCAAGTGAAGATTTTGGCTCAAAACGACCAGAACCAGAGAAATTGGCATGCTTGTCGGAGATTCGGGGTGTAATGCTGTTCGTTCTACTAGGGGAAGCCCCATTCAAAGAACTTGCGGGTGGAATCTCCTCCCATGACATGCTAAGATCACCTAGAGGTGCTCTGGGCTTCGAAGGCGCGGGTTTCGCTACCTGGGGGATCGGGGCCGGAGGTGACGTACTTGGCTGGTTAAGCAGGGCCTCCACCATCGTTCTTTCCACAAATGTCATATTCCCCAAGATGTCATCCATCATCTTCTTTCTCTCTCTTGCGGCTTTCACACCCTCTATACCAGCAGACCCTACGGCAGAAAACTGGCGGTCTAGTTTGATGGCCGCTAGATATTCTCCACTTTGGACAAGTCGAACGCAAACGAGGTCTTGTACGATGGCAATAGAAGCTGTTGGAATGTCATGCGGGGGCTTGAGAGCATATGCATGGAGCAGAGACTGTTCCGAAGGAGATAGAGGAAATGCCACAAGCTGTGCCAACGGTCCAGGGCGTGGCTTGGCTGTTAGAGGCACTCAACATCAACAAGGTCACAAGGAGGTCTGTTTACGCACGCGAAAGACACCACTCTAAGAGCTTATTGAGTAGACGCGTGCGCGTCTCAGAGGAATCAGGAAAAGTACGTTGAAACTGCCACGCGTCCCAAAGACTTGAGTTGGCCAGTGCTAGCGCGTACATATCAATGTCGTCAGGTTCCATGAGCGGAGGCTTGGCGGTCCGAACGTATTTCACGATGAGTGGAGGTGGATCCTCGGACAACGAAAGCGCCTGCATAATTTTGGAGGCATAGTCCCTATTGAGCCTGGCATCTGAAAGTATTGAAACTGCTTTCTAAACGACCCCTCATGAGGTTCAAGGAAGCTATAATGTTAGATATGATTACATACCTCGACATGGATGCCAGTGTCTAGATGCCAATATGCATCTGCAAGAGACACAAACTGCGGTGGGATACACCTCTCCTCCGCATAAGTAGCCTCTCGTCCATCTTGAAACCACTTCAAGAGGATATATACCAGACAGTCCTTCTTCAAGCTGTCATAACTCGAGCCATTGATGACATCCAGTAGCTTACGGAGCGAGTGTAGGTCTGTAGGCGGATAAAGCATGTCTGGTTGACGAACTCCACCACGCATGAGCAGAACGTCGAAAATTAGGACATCGGCCATCTGCGCGCGTCGAGATTCTATCTCTGCAGACCTAGTGGTGGTCCAAGGAAATTCGCGTGGCGTTCCGAAAAGCAGGAGCCAGTTTTGGACCACATTGCTATCATCCTGAGGAAGGACAAGTCAACTCGGAGAAGGCTAGGCATCGCGCTTAAGGATGATACTTACGACGTCCATGCTATTTGTGATGCCAGTGAAACACGCCCAACTGGCACTCCAACGCCTTTCAACAAAGTATTGCTGATGTAATCAATTGCGATAAACAGAAAATTAACCCCTGACTCGGACACGTTGGCTGCTCGACATCCGTACAAATGTACAGTAGACAAAAGTATATCCCTACTCCTGCACAAGACGATATACGCGGGGTGCGTAAACTGGTCCAGGTGCCTCCAAATCCTTACGTGTTCCCTCCTCCAGTGGAACGCCCTTGGATCTGAGATACTTAATAAATGCAAGAAATTCTAACTGATTGGCACTAAAAGTCATCCGGTCCAACGATCTCCATTATAAGATCATGCTATGGTCTTGACACAAGGTCTCGGTCAGTCTAGTGTTCAGTACTCGCTGAATCCGGCGCATTTCGTGTGGACCCTCGAGCCTTAGATCTGGAATCTAAACCGTCATACGGCTGGAGCTTGGAATCCCTCGTTTAGGATCCAAGCAATAATATATTGAGCCATTTGGAAATATAGCAGGAGGATTGCGCGTCGTATTGGAATTGGCATAGATTGAGTCAAACCATCAACTTCTGGTCCGCATATTTGGCTATTTGTCCCAGGTCTGGCCAGCGGTGGTTTTCAGACACGGAATAATGAGCGGAGTTGACAACATGCAGCGTGTTGAACATCACCTTGAGAGCCTCCCGTTGAGAGGCAACTAGAGGGTGTTATGAGTTACCACTCCTGCAAACTCCTATGGGATGCACTTCACGGGGGTTCTGCTTCGAAAGGGTTCGCTGCTCAGTTATATTAATTTGGCATGATTATTTTTCAGAAGGGTGGCATATACGATCATTGGCTTCTAAGAGCTGCAAATGGTCAAGTCACAATTACAACAATTCGATGTCGGACGAGGAAGAGAAGTAGTGATTTCAAGTCTCACTTGACACATCAAATCCGCCAAGTCATGGCTTCGGGTATTATATACCTAAGGAATATCCGCAAATCATATGGAATCCCTGTCGCGTGCCATACGGCAAGGCCGATGTGCACAGCTGTTCAACTCCGTACAGCAAATTCCGAAGGCAGTACACTGACTTAAAATTCTGTTTCTCCAGAAATTGTAGAGGTGCGACCTCGGACAAGAAATGATTCGCACAGCATCGATTACTGATCTGCGTACCCGTCCTACCACTAGTGTAAGAGAGCTTTTGCTGGAGTCATGGGCTGTGATGATAGCCTGAGTACACTAATTTATCATCGTCAGAATGCAAAAATTATTGTCCCGCAGACTGCAACTCAAAGCCACCCACTGGAAATTATACTCTAATTCAAAAGATCCATCTGAAATGAAGATGACACCATTTGTCTGGACAGTGTGATAAGGCAAGTAGATCTGAGGAAACAGCATGCTTATACACATTTGTATGAATAGAATACGGAGCGGCTGGTTAGTGATAAGAATATATCAACTCCGCGACTCCGAGTGAATTTACTTGAACACCACCTTCCTCATTCGTTTAGCAATACACCAAGGACCGGACACGGTCCACACCTTGTCAAGTTTCCGGTAAATCCTTATTCATTGGGGGAGAGGTTAGTAAGTGTCAATTCTTCAGCGAACATTGAATATTCAACAGTGATTTGTGTATTGTGTTAGTGTTAGTCACCCACTAATCGTTAAATATTCCCAAACATGCCGCGACAGCACGTCAGGTGAAGTACCGTCTTGAATACTCTGTCATGGGTACTCATGAGAATGCGCAGTCCCCCACCTTACTATCATAGGTGCGCAAGCCTCGTCCATAGGTTGATTATTGATGGGTGACGACAAGCTTTGCAGTTCATCAGAGGCATCCCCTCTGATACCTCGCGAGTCTTACCGTCGCTATCAATATCTCTATATCTCTGCAATACTCATAGTTCTCCTTATCGCATTCACAATTGTCAATATCTTCATTAGCCTTCACAAGGACCCCTTAGATCCGGATGTTCGAGAACGCATTCGCAAGGACTGGGACATTGAACTTCGCCGACACGAGGAAGAAGTTTTCAAGCGCATTGACACCCAAAAACGTTGGCGTCTGGAAGATAATGACAGGATTCGCCTCCGCGATCAATGGGAGAATGAAGTCAAAAACCACGAACGTGAAGTGGAGGAGAGACGGAAGCACGAAGAAGAAGAGCGATTAAGATTGAATATGTTTTGGACTGACTTGGCTTCGCACACGTGCACGACATACGCCACTCGAGAGTACACTGCCCAACTGGTTAACGTTCCATCATATTACAACCGCCGTGTGGAGGCATGCATGGCCACACCGGTAAAGATTCATGGGGTTGACTATACGCCTAAGTGGTGCGAGGATCATGTGGGTGTTCCTGTATTTCTTTGTAGTACAAACAGCTGATATTTTGTGTCCAGGGTCCAAATAATGTAATAGGTCATTGGGAAGTCGACCAGCACGAGCCGGATTGTGCGTCGTACTGGACCTGGTACAAAGATTTTGTTTGTAATTCTTCTCTTCAGCATATTTGCAACTTATCTATTTTTGCAGGGCTGTACGTCTCCTGGATCCGGTCAGCGGGTGAGTTTTTCATATACAATATAGTGGGCAAATTTGACGGTATGCAGCGTATTGAACATCTCCTCGCGAATCTCCCGGTGGGAGGTGATGGAAGGAGTTCTGTGCTACCACTCCTGCAAGTTTCCGTGGGATGCATTTCATGGGGGCACAGATTTGCTTCGAAGGGGTTCGCTACTCAGTCACATCGATTTGGCATGATTTGTTAATTATTTTTTAGGGCGGTGGTGGCACATGGGGTCACTGGGTTTTTGATGACGAGAGCTGTAGGTAACCGAGTCACAATGTTGCTCCGATGTTTGATGGGGGTGATATCTTGACGGGCTACGTCTGCTGTACCATTCATTGTACTTTATACTTGCATCATTGTATGTCTTTTTTTGGGTCACTAGTATTCACGGCTTCGAACATTCACGTGAGCATGAAGGATAGGCACTGCCGCCGCCGTCACTGGGAGTCCCAACGGCATCCACGAGCTTCGGAGCGCGCAATGCTATGAAAAAGGGTTCATGGAGAAGTTGGACGTCGCGCTGTAGATGGCAGGGCACATGCGTATAGTATCCTCATTTTGAGGGTACGAGAAAACCCATCAAAGGAGATGCTGGCTAGATCGCAAATCAAGGAAGTAGGTAAGCCTATATGCGAGCGAGGCATATATATTACGATGCACCTGCTTGATGGATCTCTAACTGCCGAAGTCAATTTATTCAAACCTCAAGCTCCCGACTACACTCTACGCTGAATTTCAATCTGAAATTTGAATGTCACGACTTCACACGCCAACATACCGCCCCTTGGTATAGCCATAGCAGAATCCCTTTCCGCGATGATGATGGAATGGACCAGCCCCAATGTTCACATTCGCATATGACCAGATACCTCGTGAGTCGAATGAAATACCATTGGATGCTTCGCCTGCATCTAAAGTTAAGTTGAATTCTGCAAAATCAAGATGTAGGAACTGCAAAACAATGACATAGATGTGCAGTGACCGCAAGCCGATTGACTTGAGTTGTCTCTCTGAGAAATACGGTTCTCGCTGTTGTCAGGTCAATCACTGCTAGTAAGGGACTAGATCATAAAGACGTACATGACTCATGCGGGTCAGACAGGAGCGCTGTATATTCCTAAGGGTCCCTCTTCTTCAGCATCACCCCTGACGGTCTTGAGTAGCGCACAAATGGCTAGGTTATCCTATTCAGGTTTTGCCCCAGAGGTGTTAACATGGTTTTTGATTCAACAATGACGTACAAATGATATAACCTAGGAGCTCTTGAATCGGCGTGGTCTTCCACCATAGCTATTAATATACTCAACTATGTGACTGGAGAGGTGAAAATTCTGTGTGAGATGGCAGTTCATTTGCGCCCACGACTGAAAGGCATCTCATATGAAGTTTCCATCGAGGCGCAATCTCTCGCGAGGCAAAGATTCGGGTGACAGCACAGTATCACAGAAAATTTTCTCAGCGAGAATGATAGTTACGGGATGCCTTGATGTCTCCAAATGCTAAATGATCTTCTGTTTTGGTACCTTGGTCGCGAGACGCATCCTTGATTTGACGCTTAAGTAAAACTTTCTTGATTTCACGATGGCTCCATCCTGGTGAACATCGATCATTCTATTAAAATCACTTTGTGTTTTTGACAAGAAGTACCTGGTACAACACGTGAATTATGAGATTAATACATCGAACAAATGACTTGCCTGGGCCCCAAGACAAATTCATAATCTTTATCGGAATTCATAACGAAGCATTCCATGTAGAAGACGATCCAGACTTGCCATGCGGACATCCTTTGTTTCCATAATGCTTGCTCGAACTTCGGGATCATCGGAGCTCAGACCCAACCACGACCAGAGTCCCCGGAGGATGAGCTAGAATTTGGAGGGTAATAATACCAATGGTCATCGTCCTGCGGCTAGCCTGGAACCTCGGCAATGATATCAGTAAAGAACCTTTCCTCATCTGTTGCTCGCTCCGCTTGACGGTTTGACGAGGCATGACACTACACACGATGACACACGATGAAGTGAATTCAAACAGTTGGCTTTAATTTGTCATGTTAAAATCACAGCCTGCTATCCTCCACACTTGCGTATATGGCAATTTCGGCAAGTTTGTGCAAGATTACACTTCCCAGAGGCTAACGGCCATCACCGAATGCATTCAGGGATTCGGTTGACTGGTGACCAAGAACTTTCAGTCAGTCATCAAACGTACATCGTACAAACACAAGGCAGGCAAAGTACATCACCGTGCAGTAGTCTGTTGCCCTCCTGTCTTCTGTGCAAGACGATCTACAAGGGGTGCATCGGCTGCATCAGCCGCAGCTACCTCTAACTTGTTTGTTCCCTCTCTCCGCAAAGTCCGCACATCTCCTTTAAATCCAATGTAGTAAACGCGGGAAAGCTCTTCTCCAACCGACTCACGCTAAAACGTATTCAGTTGATTGATTTCGTCATAAGGGTGCACAACACTTACAAAATACAAGCTTAACGAATGAACGCTGGAAAATGCCGCAACCTTCAAAGGATATTCAACCACTGCTGTCTCACCCTCCAAAAGACTGATGTCTAAATGTGGTTTCGTGGTTTCAGCGTCGCTAAAATCGATGATATTGGGATAATTTGCGTAAACCCTGAGGTGGCGGGGTGTACTTTCACCTCTGCCTGTACGTATGATGGCTGTGTGATGGAGACTCATCAAGTTTAAACGAGCATCAATCACCTAATTTGAGTATAATAGACTTAACGCGCACGTTCTGTGCGAAGGGCACATGTATGATCATCTGTGGAAAGTCCATTAGTCAAAGTGAATCTCTTCCCAGACTGAGACACAGCTCACTTGATCGTCTACACCCGAGTCTGCATATACAGTGGTATCCTCACGCTCACTCCACGGCTTGATAACCGCTTTAGCTTGCTCTGGTATTGCCAGGTTGAGACCATGCACGCTTGATAGTATTTCGTCAAAGTCAGATATCTTTGCTAAATATCACACCGTGATAAGTCAGTAAGTGCTTACTTCTCTCTGTCAATTAGCGGAAACAGGTTCGACAGGTCTGTCCCACTGAGATCTGAAGCTAGGGAATTATTTCCTTCCATTACGGTTGTGGTCAATGTAGTCGTATCGACGAAACTGCCGCGGCTGCTGCCATAACGCGTCGTCCTAAATTGACGCAAACCAAATAAAGACAAATAACTCGGGACGCACTTCGAAATTTCCACTTCAAACGCGCGCAAATGCAAATGCACAGACTTGCAAGAGCCAGCGCCTCCTCCGTATTTCGACGGCCTCCAACTCGTTCCCGCGTATTTTTGTGTAGGCCATCAACGTCATCTTTAAGACAGTTATCCACAGACCCTTCAAATTCTTCGCTACCCAATGAATTGCCAGAATCACAGTTACAAGATGTGGAGGCTATTGAGGAGGAAGAGATCACTCATGCCTTTCCAGACGTCATGAAACCAGACCCTATTCACGACGATCTTTTAGCTATGGATTTCCCTCCTACCAAACGCACGCCGCACGCGAACCGCGTCGTTATACGCAGCATTTATGAACAAAACATTAACCAAATGCTAGAAACAGGCAGTCTAGAAAAATCAGAGGATGGTGCAGAAGAAGCTGGTGCTGACGAGGAAGGCGAAGTCTCTCCGCTCGCGAACCTCCCTCTCGGCCGGGACGCTCTCGACAAGCTGTATAAATTCCAGCTCATCTCTCGCCGCATCACGCAACAGACAGGGAAGGGGAAAATACATCGGCAGTATGCACTTGTCGTTGTGGGTAATGGAGATGGGCTAGTCGGATATGGAGAGGGCAAGGACGATGAACTACCAAGGGCATCCGACAAGGCGTTTGCTGCTGCCGTCCGTAATATGGACTCTGTCGAACGCTTTGAGAAGCGTACAGTGTGGACAGATTTGGAAACGAAGCTTGGTTCCACGCACATCATTCTACGACCTCGTCCTGTTGGCTTTGGGTTACGCTGTAACCCGAACGTGCATCAGGTGCTCAAAGCAGCAGGCATCAAGGATGCCAGCGCAAAAGTATGGGGCAGCCGTAACCCACTCAACGTCATCAAAGCTCTATTCAGGGTACTGCAGGCTGGGAACGCGCCGCTAGCTATGGGTGATGGGTTCGGAGGGAAGGCCAAGAAGCTCGACAAGGGGTCTGGGCTGCGTAACAAGAGCGCTGTAGAACGAGATCGTGGGCGGAAGCTTGTGGATCTCAGGACGTACTGATATGGGTTGCCGTTAGCTTTCATTCCCGTGTATTGGCGTCCCTGTTTCGTGGCATTGCTTTCCGCGGAATAATTGATCGATTTCAGTGTGTTCTTTTACTCTACTTCTTAGAGCCGGGCTAGCATGATCGAGGGCCCAAGCGATTATATGTTGCGTCAAAATAACGGTAACTTCTGGAAGGTACCCTTAGGGTGACATTGGAAATTAAATTCTCTGCCATCGAGTAAGACAAACTGAAACCTCCAATGTCATGTTACGTGACCAAGTTCGAGTGAAAGATAACCTTATTTCACCTTCTAGAACGCACCCAAGTTCAAGATATCACATTAAATTTCCAGAATCGGGTTCAAAGACAAGAAGAGTAACGGGTTAGGCAACTCCTGATGGAACATGCGTGCTTGGATTCGTGAATTGTATGAAATCTACAGACGCGTATCAATACATAGAATTTCGTGTACACCAGGTACTCATATATAATGCCTGGATAATTGCACAACAGTAAATGAGAAGAAAAATCGAAATCGAAGATATGGTAAGATGGGGCGAAAAATGCTATTGTCGTGGCATCAGAAATCGTAAGTAGGTCGCAAAAATGATGAATGAGAATAAGGAGTATGCAACTAGCCACCGACTGTAGCGAACAGTTTTCCTGGCGAAAACCAGTGGCGTTTTTGACGAGGTCGTGGGGCCTGTTGCCGGCATTGTTCATGTGTAGCAATTACAACGGGTGGTGGCGGCTCGGGCATGCTGGGTGACGGCGACCGACGTCCCCATGTAGGATTCGAAGAAAAGAACGTGGAGAAGGGAAACGAATCTGTGAAGGACCCCCTGCGTGAACGGGGCCGCTCTTCCGTCTGATGAGGCGGCGATGACGAGCGAGGGAATGAGAACCTCCACAGGCTTGAGGACCACCTTTTCTCCTCGCTTGCTGTGGAACGGGGAATGGGAATTGGGGCTGAAGGCGGAGGAGTGGGAAGGGGGGCATCGATGGAGCGAAAGGCATTCATGACCATGGAGGGTACAAGGTGATTTATAGCAGGATTAACTTGTTCACGCCGCCAGGTAGCTAAAGTGGTGTCCTCAGCAACGTGACACGTGGGAGAGAGGTCGAGTTCCAAACCAACGACGCTGGAGGATGACGTGGAGGGGTATGATGATGGGGAATAGTCCGTTTCTGTGTAATCCCAAGCGGAATCCATCTGCTGACTTTCAGGAGTAGAATAAGCGCCTAGATCAACTGAAGAAGGCATTCCAGAATTGGTCCAAGGCAAAGAGAGCTTCGAAACTGAAGGGGGAGTTGGAAGGTAAAAACAGGAGGAGAACGGCGTCGAACTTTCAACAGCAGTGTGCATAGAAGAAAATGTGGAACGGGTTTCACTGCTACCAGTGAAAAATATACGACGCCCGCACACTGTGTTGATTTTGAGACCCTTGGCAGGAATCGGCGTAGGCCTACTGCACATCACACCCTCAGGCGTGGCGGGAACGGAGGGTAGCGAGCTAGAATCAGGGGATTGGGGCGAGTATGTTGATGGTGGAGTACGAGGGGACTCGTAAATTTTGAGCGGCTCGATCAAAGACGGTGATGGCGACCGAATAGAGGATTCGATTGCCCAGGTCGCGTTGCACGACGAATATTGCTCCCAAGCCGGATTTTGTACAGAAAGCCTCGTAAAGTCCATCTCCGCATCCGAGTCTTTGCTCCAAAAGGACTTGAGCTCATCATGAGCTTCAACGGGTTCGTCATGATTAGAGGAGTCGCTGTCGCTCTCAAGGTCGACGTCAATCTCCCAGGCACAACGGGCCATGCTACCTTCAAATATCACGCCCTCGGCATAGAAGTGTTCCACATCCTGAATCGCCATGCGAACCTCTGCAAGCGTAAGGCGATGCCTCCAATCCACTTCCAACATGCGGCAAAGAATATCGTTCACCTCGGGTGAAATGGGAAGGACGGTCGGCAAAAAGTTAGCCGGGTCCTGCAAATATGCTTGGAACGTGGGATCTGATGATGACGCTGACTTCCACGGATTCCGACCGGTTGCAAGGTTAAGGAGAATTATTGCTAACGACCAAATGTCGTTGAATAGGGGTGAATAAGAGCCTGTTGGAGCAAATTCCCCTCCTTGACATTCTAAGATAAGAGATAAGTAAACGCGACGATTGAAGCATGAATGTGATTACCTGGACTCATGTGATATACGCTACCCGTCCTAAACTCCTCGCTAAACCTATCAGTGGTAGCGAGACCGAAATCGGTGATGGCAACCCGCATGCCACCATCGAAGCACAGGACATTCTCTGGCTTTAGATCACGATGGTATATGCCAAGCGAATGGCAGTATTCGACAGCGTCAAGGAGCTGTAGAAATATGTGTTTGATAAGGTGGTCGTGACCTAGATAGCGGCAGTTGTGTAATATCTGGGAGAAGAGGTCGCCGTCGCTAGCATAATCCATGATAATGTAGGTGTAGTTGCCCTCCTCAACCACCCTATGCAGGGTGACTACATTCGGATGCGCTGAAGCGAGGCGATGGAGAGCTATCTCGCGGATGTGAAGCTGGCGCTGCCGGGTGCTGTGGTGGATTTGAGAGCTTATAAGGCACTTGACGGCGTATGAGGTGAGTAGGGGATCACGTGTGTCAACTGCACGATAGACAACACCATAGCCACCGACTCCCAAGACTTCTACGAGCTCTATGGTATTGTTGTCGATGACAGTGCCGAGAGCAGGGGGAGGAGGAGAGTTGGCAGAAGAGGGTTGCTTGGACGGCATCCTGGCCGAAGTCACTTCTGGAAGAGTGGTGAGGGTCCTAAAGGACTTGAATAGAAGGGCCTTGGGCGAGGGAAGTTGTTACGTGGAGAGGGGAGGCGAAGAGTAATGATATGGATGAGCGGCAATTTAAATGGGTGACGTCCGGTTGAGGCGTGTTAAGCATGAGGCCGCGCCTGGTTTTGTGAGCGTGATAGACGAAGGGGGCGCAACTTTTGAGATCCTTACTTGCGATAATGACGCTCTTGGCTTTGTTCATACGGTTCTGTCATAATCCGAGCCACATAACATTTCATTTTCTGTATGTCTCGGGTACCCCTAAATGGGAAAAGGCGCGAACCCTGTTACCACATTTAGAACCAAAGTGATCGATTTCAAGTCTCTGCTTAGAAATCCGAGGGCGGCGGCCATCTAGAGAGAGGTAGACAGTCAGAAATTTTCACCGTATCTTGAAACAGGTCGGGGGTAGGGCTCAGGGATCGTGTTAACCAATGCCCGAAAAATGGGGCTATGACAAGGAGGCGATCATTACTCATGTGATATGGATTAGCTGCGGCTACAGCACGACAAAAGTACTGCGGTTCTAGTGTCCAGACGTTATAAACGTTGCATTTCGTGGTGGATAGCCATAGTAAATCGGGGGTTGCATTGCAAAGTTGGCCAACTCGTTCGTGTTGTGGCATACGGATATCGCGTGCAGGAAGACTTGTTAAAAGCACGTGAGCAGAACGCGACACGAAATCGGAACATCGGAGTTTTAATAAACACGCATCAATTTAAAGACAGTTTACCGAACACGCACACTACAACTCGTCGTCTTACACTTTCTAGCCGTCACATTCAATAGCCACGCGCATCAAGCCATTCCCAGCCTACACTGCCTACACTGCGTCCCTAGCGCTCTTTTTTCATTGCACAAGTCACAGCATTCTCCTCGCCTCATTCCCCATTCAACCATCCAATGTCCGTTCGCTCCTTCACAGTCTTCCAGGACACTCCAACCGAGATTCAGAAGATCACTCATGTTAGCGATAAAAATCTCGTGACGTCAACAGCTGCGGATGCCGCTGCCACATTACTATCAACCCTTGCCGCTATCGAGAAGGAGAACCTTCATCCGCTTACAGGTCAACGCGCTACTCAATCCACCACAAATCCGTCCAAGAAGCGCAAGACAGCAGTTTTAGTCACAAAAGTGGTCGCTCCTCTGCCGTCTTCCAAGAAGCAGAAAGAACTCAAGTCGGAATCAAAGAAATTGCGCAAATCAGCCACTGGTAATGGAAACAAAAGTGATGGCTGTAAAAAAGTTCCTAGAGGATCACGCCCTGTACGCAAGGCTTCCCCTTTGCCAAGAGTCGATGAGGAACAGGAAATTTCAACCGCAACTCCAAGTCAGCGAGATCCCACTCGTCTTATCATTTCCCAGGCCAAGATAGACTCAAAGTGCTACGAGCTTACCGTATCACCCTTGGCAGACGTCTCTGAAGCGTATGATACCGCAACAGAAACTTCGGATCAAGAGTCTGTGTTTGACAAAGTTTGTCCATCTTTTTCTGTCCTCCGGCATCAATTAACCTTGCTTTCAGAAACAGTCTGTCGAACCTGAGCTTCACGATTATTTCTCTTCCACAACATCGCACGCCTCGTTATCATCTGAGCAAGCGGAGGCTATTCCTCTTGCTTCAAGGGCCGCTTCCGATACTGGATTATCCACTCCAAAGCGCAAACAAATGTACTCGGCATTTACCTTTTCATCTCCGTCGCCTTCATCGAAACGTTTTAAAGAAGCTTGGTCATCCCCCAACAACAAGACCAACGCCTCCCATTCAGAATCATAATATATGTCATATATACCCGTCGTGAGCCCTTTGAGCCACCACTTTATTGACACTTGCACACGTACAATTTACTATCACATCTTACCCCCCATCTATCTTCACATTCATCGTCAACCTTCTTGTCAATAGCATTTTTTTTCTTCCTATTTATACATTCCATCATCGCCGACATTATTACCCATGGGTCACATCGGGTCACATCTCGCTTGCTATGCTTCGGTCTGGTTCACTCGCTTTGGTGTGCTTGTTGCTTTGTGCTCCCAGAGTATCCGCATTGTTGGACTCCTCAAGCATTCATGTATTACGCATCTCGCATCAATCTATCTTCAACTCAAGAGATCACCGAAAAGTCTCGATACGTCTCGTTTCACTTGGATTTAGTCGCGTGCACACTCTGAGCTCACTGAATGTCAGATGTCACTCAGACCAGAACGACTCAGCAAGTTAGCGAGTCATATTTTTCGCCACAAAGAGACAGTCTCATGAGACTGTCTCCACCACTATCCTCACAACTCTCAACAATAACTTGGCTTACCGATGAGCACATCAGGAGCCCCGCGTCCTATTTTTTATTTATCGATAGAACTGATGGAGGGAAATCACGAACGTGAGCGATATGTATAGAAAGCACTCAGTCAAAGAACTGCGAGTTGTGGGCAACGAACGCGCCCTTCCACCAGTTCAACTTGCCATGGGTTTGATCAAATGATCATTCAAAGCCTCGAAGTTACTCACGAGCCCAGTTTCATGCTCACAGAGCAGCTTATTACCATGAGTATTCATTGCAGATTTAATGTTTGATTTGTTTACATAACCTACTCCATAGTAGGATGACTTGCTGCCTCTCGAGTCAGAGACACGCACATGGCATGGAAGCAACTACGTTGCCTTCTAGATGACCGACATGTTTAATATAAACATATGGGTGATTGCATCGTACGCCCACGGTTATCATTATGATGTCATTGGCCCGCGTTGAATGAAATCTTTAAGTTTCATGATCCAACTTGGAATGTGGTGGGTCTGCGTTGGCTGGGTTACGACATCGCCACGCTGTTTCTTGTCTTTGACGTTCCCAATTGCGAACTGCACGAGTTTCGGGATGTTTGGGAACCTGTGGCGCGTCTTTAATTGCACTGCTATAGCATGTACGTGTTCCTGCCTTCACAACGACGTGTGAGCTGAGCGGCGGACGGTATAGCCTGAGCATTCAGGCGAACATCGGAGATTCTTGTACGCTCGTAATGCTCAAAGCAATGTGTCCTAGCATTAATGCCCTTCGTGAGTCGCATTCCACGTTTTTTTAAAAAAATGCAGCTGTGGCTGGGCAGTAATAAATTCGATGTCAGCATCCTCTGGAACGGATACTCGAGATTTCCTGTGCTTCTTCCCCTTTTGGCTTATTTTGCTGCCGGTTAGGCCCTTTGGTTCCCTGTGCAGGATGCAAGTACGCTCATCCCTTACGAATGTGGTCATAGAACGTCCTTCCTCACCCACCTCTCTTTTTCGTAATACCCATTCTGATGTCCTGGCTTCATTCGCATCCCTCACTATGGTGCATCGTGACAGCTTGCGAAATCGGTCCGATCGCGCACCAACCTTCCACACTGCACGGATCAAAGTTAGGCCAAACTGTGGTCAGTTCCGTGTCATGCATCGCTAACTAGGCGACACTTTTCACGAACGTATAAGGAATGGCATTCCGCTGGCAACGGGATTCCCTTTGTACCGGTTTGAAGTGCTACTCTGCCGGCTATGGAGTTCCCGTTATCATATAATACCACTATCATAGTCGCTCACTTGGATATAAAAGCCTGTTCTTACCTTCGTGATGTCCAAGGAGCTGTCCTTATGTCTGACGCGCTTTCACGTAGGTATCGTTTATATATCTTGACGTTATTCGTCATTGCACAGCCAACCTCGCTCGTTTTCTTTGATACTTGGTTGCGATACTGATACTTCCTCTTCCAGATGGAGTGTATCAAATATATCGTGTGGAACGCGGTCCTAGGGCCTAAGCTGACATTGGTTTTCAAGCAGACTTCGGTGTCAACGGATACGATCTAATGGCACTGTTTCCTTGCGTCATTGTATGAATTTCTGTTATATGAACAGAACTGATCTGACTGCAGAACTTTCGACAGGGCTTGTATGTCGCTGCTACCGTTGGTCTCGCATGTATCCACGGAACATCATGGAAAAAAAACTCACTTGCCTCTCTGCATATGTCGTGTTCCAGAGTTCCCTAGCTGGTGTGATTGTGCGTATGCAACTCTGCGTTCTGTGATGATTCACTTCAGCATTATCTAAACTGGTTGGTGTAGGTGACAGGATACTATATTATCCGCAAGGATCACTACGACGTAAAAACCTGTACAATGCCGAGAGGGGCAGCTGGTATTTGTACACGAAGGGATAAATCTCTGGCGAGAGTTTTAATAGACTTTCAGCATTGAAGATCCCCGAGTCAGGAATCTCGAATGCTTCAAGTCCATTGAGACTTGCACGTTCAACCAAACTGACAGCATACACCGCGTATAGCGCCGGAATCCTTGTCAATATTGTTGGTTTTGCTTTTATTCCACAATTATGATGTGCTGACCCTCATTTGTTGTTTTCCAGCTGCGCGAGTGGTCCCTCTACCAACTACCCATATATACGATAAATCGTGCTTTACGGACTTTGGGGTTTATTCGCTCATCTATCGGGCTCTAAATCACGTTTTCCCGGTGGTCTGCGCTGCGTACACGTTTGAATAAATCACCGTGTCTGGGTATGGATGAGGCAGGTGATTCACGGGGTGTCGAAGAATTGGACATGGACATGAAGGATGTTGGATCCGAGACTACCAGCGAAAGCGACTTGACGAGGGAAACTCTGGGGAAGAAACATGGTCCGGATTACACTTCGTTTTCCGATAATAACGCTATCATACTATCATAGAGTCTGTTCAGAGTTCGATGCATTATAAAGATGGCTGATGTAGACAGTCGAACAGGTCGATCATGCCGTTGAAAATTATTACATTATATTACATAATGTTCCGAACCGAAAGCATGAAAAGGTCACTGAAACCAACCCTCCGGCCAAAACCTGTCCGGCGCAAAGTACGGCGCTACGGCGGATATATCCGCAGTCCGGCGGCAGAAAACGGCCAGGTAGCGGACTTTCAAAACACCTAGGTAAGTCTAATACTACGTGTTAATCTTATCACTCCTTATTATTTTCGTATGGACCCCGTATCTCAGCTACCGCCCTCCAATAATCACTGTCCAGAGCCCCAGTGGGTGTGGGCTACCTCTACCAGTAAAGTTCAAGCAGGAAAGGAGAGGGTGAGTTGCTAGAATCACTCATGGCTAGCTACGAGGGCTTTGGATATGGTGGGCCGTGTGACCGAAGAAACATGGTATTATCATGTAAATAGTTGATAAATGTAAATGTGGAATAGATTGTTAGTTAGGAAGCATCGAAGTAAGCTGGAGGTATCGGGCATTGGTGCTGTAGTTGAACGTCGAGCCTCCAAGTGTGTTTTCAATGTCCGACGTGCCGTCTGTTAGTTACCAGCTTTGCCGCCGTTCTTGCCGCAGTGCGCCCCGGACTTTTATGCGCCGGAGGGGTGGTTTCAGGGATGTTCTCGAAAGCATTATTACCGTTGATCGCTGACTCAGCGTTTGTTTACATAAAGCCTTTGTCAAAACAACTTCCGTCATTCTCCTTCTAAATTTCACCATGATCGTAATCTATACAAAAGAGACAGTTATTCCAATTTCCATCACCCCACTTTTCTTTCTTCTGAATTCAGTGTTAATGCGAATACACAATGGACCATACGAAACGCGAACTGATCGGCTCTGGTCACGGTGCTACCGCTCTGCAAGCCTGACGAAGCTGTAACCTCCTACCGGGTGCTCTCGAGATCAGTGCCACTCGCATAGACATAGACGCCCTAGTGTGAGACAGTCATTTTCTATTTCAATACCTAACCGCTCGACGACGGTTCAACAAATCATTTTGTGCCAATTCACGATGTTCTTGATCAGGATGCTCAACGATGGCAAGTCTGCGATACAGTCATGTTGCGATGAACTCGAGACATCACAGAGTCTGGACGTATGCTTCGACACAGTCGAATATAGACGACGTTGTGAGGCAAGATATTGGTTCAACCGGTACGCGTCGAAATTGACTTATCTGATGATCTGGATATAAATCTTTGACATTTCAGGGATCGAAGCGATCATCTTTTGTTTTATTGAAGATGATAGGTGGCAAATGTAAGGGTGTGGTGTGGCACCAGTGCCAACAGGATGTGCGGAGATTCACATATATATTCGCCTTTGCGGCTTCCGTGAGTTGATCTTCAATGATGGATACTGAACAGCATTCGTTTCGACTGCGACTCTAATAATATTCACTCCACTCATTCACCAGGCTAAGGCAGACTTATCTGAAGCGTATAATATCGCTACAGAAATTTCGTATCACTCGAAGTTTGAATCTGACCAAGTCCGTAAGACCTTTATCCGTTCTTTAGCGCTTAGCATTGACTAACTTTGATTCAAGAAAGGCTTGTTGAGCCCGAAATCCGTGGTTCACTCCTGTATCGTCGTTCGCGTCCTAAGCTCGATCAAGTGATAGCTACTGTATCTCTTGTTCCAATCAAGAGTCTCAGCACCTCCCAGTCTCAAAGGACGCCTTTGTCACCAGTTAAACTCACCATGGGTTTGATCAACAGGGTCGCTGAAGGCCTCGAAGTCACCTATCAGCCTATTATCACTTCACCTAGCAGTGAGCATTCACTTTGGATCCCATCTCTTTTGACGTAGCTTTCTCTGTGACAGAAAAGTAATCTTCTACCCGTCAAGTAAGAGAAACAAACGTGCGCATACAATACGTCGCCTTCTGGATAGTCGACGCGACGGCCACTAGTGTCGCGAAAGGTGTAAATGGACTTTCCGAGTCTGCCTGCCATTTTAAAGAGGTACCTCAATCTTTCAGTCTGATGGCATTGATGACGAGGCGGATGAACAATTATCTGCCCGACTATGTTGCCTCATCTAACTTCTTCTGGTGCTGGCGATATATTGACTCCCACTCCCGACTTCA